AATCGGAAGACGCTACAGCCCAGCACGATCAGTGCGGCTAGAGAGGAGCGACTGCTAGAGGTTTGGGCAAGGAAGCTCCGTGAAGAGCTGCTAGAGATACATGCCCCGGTTCTCGCTAAGTTGCACGGGAGTCTGGACCCCGCGAGGGCAGCTATGTTGCTTCCGGGGAAGACCCGGGCGTCGACTTTGAAGCGCTACCTGAGCTACTACAGGCAGTGGCGCCAATGGCTCCACGCAGCTAAGCTCAGGCCGCCCCCGGGCACCGCCGCGGACCTGGTGGATTACCTCCTCGCTAGGAGTGATGAACCCTGCGGCCGTTCGGTCCCAGAAGCTATTCTCAAGGCTATCTCCTGGATGGAGAAGGTGGCCGATTTCCCGGTGGAGCTAAGGACCACCTTTGGTCGCCTGGTCTGGGCCGCTAAGGACAGCATTGTGGAGCAGCTAGCGGAGGGGGCCCCCTTGATCAAGAGAGCGCCCCGCTATCCCGTCTACATGCTGGTGCAGCTAGAGCTCGTGGTCATCAACCCCGCCCTGGCCGCAGGCTGGCGGATCTGGGCCTGGGCTAAGTTGGTCAAGGTCTGGGCCACGCTAAGATGGTCGGACCTTCAGGCTATCCTGCCGGCCGAGCTAGTGATGGTGGAGGGGCGACTCACCACCATCCTCCGGAAGACCAAGACTTCCGGCGCTACGAGAAGGGTCAAGGAGCTACCGGTCGTGGTGTCCGAGCACGCCTTTCTGGTCGCTAAGAGCTGGCTGGTGACCGGCTTCGATCTCCTCAAGGCCCACGCTAACTACGCCCGGGATTACCTCATGCCGCGGCTGGGCCGGGCGGGGCAACTGGAGAAGAAGATGGCTACCTATGCGGACGCTATGGTGGCAACCGCGGGGCTGCTGGCTATCATGGGCTACCCACGGGAGGTCCAGGGCTATTGGACGGAGCACAGTGAGCGCTCGGTGCTACCAACAGGTTTGGCGCTAAAGGAGATCCCCGGAAGAGAGGGCCAAGCTAACCCACAGCCAGGCTATCCACATGGCGGCGAGGCTGCGGAAGATCTGGATGGAGGGCCTGCTAGGAGTCCCGACCGAGGCGGAAGAGCTAGAGGTTTTCGAGGGACCGGACGAGCCCGCGGAACCGCTAGTGGCCGGGAGTAGCTCCGAGGCCTCTGCAGAGGTCGTGGAACGGCCCGCTAAGAAGCAGGCCAGGGTTCCCGACCGCAGCCAGGGCAGCTATGTAATCGTAGAGGTCCCAGGTGCCATTTTCCGCCTGCACAAAGCGGGCGCTACAGGTTGCTGGATGGGGAAGCGGCGTGCTTCCGCAACGCTAGGGTTTTTGATTCGGTTCCGGAGCCGCATGAGTACACACATGTGTGCAAGCTATGCTGGCCGAACCAGGGGGCTATCTCCGAAGGGGACGCTAGCGAAGGATCGCTCGCTAACTCGGAAGATGACGAGGCCCCAGAGGATCACGCAACGGGGTCCGCTAGCAGTCATCCTTGAGCGCAGGGCGTGCTAAGCCGCCGAACTCGCACTCGCACTGAGGCTAGAAAGGCTGCTAGGTCGGCACCCTCTTTTCCTTTCCCCTCTGTCTCCCTCTCTCTCTCTCTCTTCCCTCCCTTGCGAAACGCCGCTAGTTTTTAAAGGGGGTGTGCTCGGGGGGGGGGGGGGGGGGGGGGGGGGGGGGGGGGGGGGGGGGGGGGGGGGGGGGGGGGGGGGGGGGGGAGAAAGAAGAGAGTGGAGGGAACCACGTTCTTGCTACATGTCACTTGCTGTTGCCTGTGTTGTGCTTTCGTGTTCCGCTAGTGTCTTGCAGGAGGAGCAAGGAGCGAAGGCAGGCGCTAGGAAACCGGGGCCGGGCGACCCCTCGTCTGGCCACCCAGGGAACACAGGAGCTAGGTGAGGAGCCAGTGCTTGCGCTAGGTCCGTCTTGCAGGAAGGAGCTAAGGAGCGGAGGAAGGCGCTACGAAACGTGCGGGCCTTGCACCCGCGAGGCAACAGGGCTACAAAGGAGCTAGGCGCAGGAGCCAGTGACTGTGCTAAACCTCCTCCCACGGCTAGCCTTCGGCTTCGCTACCCTGGGGTAGCTAGATTTTCTTTAGCCGTTTCACCTGATCCGTGCCTTGGGCGCCGCTATGGGAGGAAAAGGCAAGGATGCCAGCGCTACAACGCCCAAGGGCGCAGGGCCACCAGGTGGCCCAGCTACGGCAGAGCAGCCCGCTAGTGGAGACTACCTCCCAGAGACCCTCCGCGGTCTGCGGAAGGCGCTACGGTTTAGGCCGTCGGAGTGCGCCGAGGGCCTGCCACGCTACCTCGACAAGCCTCTGCTACAGGAGCTGATCGCTATGTCCCAAGAGGCGATCGAGACGCTAGACAAAGAGTCCCCGCCAAGGAAGTGGATAGGGGCCGGGCTACGCCAACAGAGCCCCGCTAACCTGATGGAGCGGCGAGTTCTATCCGCTACTAGCTGGGCCGACCTGTCCCAGGAGGACATCGCTAGCCTGGACGAAGCTATGTCCGCGGGCCTCACGCAGAGGTTAGTAGTTACAGAGGCCGCCGCTGCAGCAGCAAAGGCCCAGCTAGACCAGCTCGCCGCTGCCAATGCGGCCGCTAGCGCTGCGAAGGCCAAGCCCCGCAAGGACGCGGAGGCCGCAGCCGCTAAGCTGGCGCTAGAGAAAAAGGCCGAGCACGACCAGAGGGTCGCAGCGGCCGCGCTAGAGCAAAAGCGGAAGGAGGCCGCGGAGCGGCTCGCTAAGGAGGAGCAGGCCGCCGAGCTGGAGTACCAGCAGGCGGTGGCCGCTAGCAAAGCCTCCCTGCAGGCCGCAGAGGAGGCCGCTACCAGAGATGCCACCGCTACCAGCAGTGTCGACCCGGCACCGGTGGCCGCTGCTGCCGCCGACACCACGGCACCGGCTAACGTGGACCCTACGCCGGCAGAGTCGGCCGCTAGGAGGTTCATGGAGATTGGGCCAAGGGCCGCTAGCCCCTCCCCCTCGCGCGACCAGCCCGAGCCGGGGCCGAGGCAAGGGCGCTAAGGGCAAGCCGGCCGAGGGCAAGGGCCAGCCGCCCGCTACAATCAATGTGTTCGACTACACGTGGGGCACGCTATTCGAGGATCCCGACCGCTACCTGGAGTTGCTACGCCGCGAGCTCCAGCCAGTGAGCGTGGCGCTAAAGGGACGAGCCAGACCCCCCCCGGGGGCCCACGCTAACAGTCTCCCCAAGGGGGAGGGCTACTGGTACCTCGAGCTCTCGTGGTCCGCTATTGACCGCGATCTGTGGCCGCTAGGTTCCTGGGACCAGCGCCATGAGAAGGGGAAAGGCAAGGGGCCTAACCCCCGCTACGGCAAGGGTGCCGATGGCACGCTACTGAAGAGCGCTATCCACCATGGAGAGCACCTCTACTCGCTAGCCAGCACGGGCTGTTCGACGGGTTTGAACCGTGGGTTACAAGAAGATCGGAATCTTAGAAGTCAATAGCTTATTCGGGTGTTGGATTCCGGCCATGTTGTCATCCATAATGTATCCAAAACAGCTCAGGCAGGAAAGCTCGAGGCTCGAGAGCTGTAAATACGAGCAAATTGTACATGCGCCGGCATGCAAGAAGCTCGAACCAACGGATAAGAGTTCGATAACCGGTACAGGTCGCACTTGAGCCACTCAAAAAAAGCCACCTGCACAAGCAAACGGTTTATAAGGGTGAAGTTAAGGCCTGTTGCACGAGAAAAAATGCCCAACGTTTGAGCATTTTGAGCCGCACTAATAGGGTGAGGGGTTTGGGATTGGGTGTTTAAGGTCCGATTCAGGGTTAACCTTGCATATTTGTCTGTCTGTCTGTCTGTGTGTCTGTATGTATGTATGTATGTATGTATGTATGTATGTACACATATATTTGTTTTTATTTACGTACGAGTGAATCTACATATATATATACACACACACACATATATATATATATATATATATACACACACACATTCATGTATGAAGAGCGCATGTTAATATGTATGTATATATATGTATATATATATATATATATATATATTCTATATATATATATATATATATATATACACATATGGTATGTGTGAAGATACGAAAAAGTGCAGCTCGATCCAGCTCGATCCAGCCCATTTTGCTGCAGTCGTTCGCACGCAATGTTCGAGCGCGCACTCGCATATACCTTAGCTCGTGCATACAAGTTAATCAATTAATTAACTATTTAATATATATATATGTATATATATACACATATATATATACACAAACATATATATATATATATCTATATATATATATATATATATATATATATATATACTAGTAATCTGCATATAATCCGGCGATGGTCGCCATCATTGGCAAAGCCCAGGAGCTGCATCGAATCTGGTCCATCGATGGCCCCATATCTATCGATTCGAATCGCATCAGATATCAATCCTCGGCTCAGCAAGATTAACGCTTGGAGTTTGGTTATACTTAAACTAGGGACACTTGAAAAATCAACTCATTGATTTACATATGTTCGGGCTTAAGATAAAGTTTTCGACGGGTATAAGTATAAGGTTATGGGGAACCTTGGGAATACATGACTTGTTTATTCCAGTGTACCCAGGTATACTGTAATATGAACCAAGATGCGGTGCATTTCAGCAAACTGCATCCACAGATCCTCGGTGTAGCAAGTTCCAACATATTTCAGATCCGCGCTTCATCTAGTACGATCGAGCAGCTGAAAGGCCCATCCATGCTATGTAGCCGGCACGTTGTCCGGTCTATTACGTACTGTCTACGCCAAAGGTCAATAGAAGCCTGAAATATAGCTCGAAGCCCTAAACCTGTACGTGCAGTAAATTGTAAACAAGTTCGGAAACTTAAGATGTCCTGATCGAGCACATATATGCACGGCGTCGTCTTGCATATCGAATCAGCTTTATAACACTTGTGACATGCCAGCGCTAGTGATCAGAACACTTGCAATCGTGCATGACTGTCGGCCGTCATTTTTACCGCCACTGCAAAGCGAACTGGAGAATATACTTGAGCACGACGTGTCCCGAGAGATGTGCCTGGTGAGATCGGACCGCAAGTTGTTTGCATCGGCGAACCCAGTCTTCGCATTGGTAGTTCGAAAAAAATCGGGCATTAAAGGCACGGTCGTCAAGTCCACGCATGTCGAACACTAGGTGTTCGAAATAGTGACACTTCGGGCGCACTGGCCACCGGGTGGCAGAATACTCCAGAGCTTCTTCAGCTAGCTTGTTATAAGCTGAGCGGTACAACAGGTAGTAGTTCTCGAGGTCCCAAGTCTCAGATGCTGAGTGCAAGCGCCTGCCACATGAGTAGACCATGATCTTGCAACTATAGAAATTTAAAATGTCAAGCATAATCCAAAACCTTATAAGGAATTCGATCAGCCCGGGCACTGAGCGGAGAGCATTATCTCCTCGATCTTTGCAAGGCCGATGCAAACTGCTGCACGCAACCTGAAGTTGAGCTTATATTGTCGAAAACTAACCGTTTCTAGTACTTAGGGCTTAGTGTAAATATTGGGGTTTATGGGTTTAGGGTTTAGTGTATTTTGGTGTAGCAGGATTTGGCGCGTGGAGTTCTGGTATTGGTGCCGTCGTATATTTTGGATTAAAGGTTGGGGTTTGAGGCCTATATATGTCGATAGACCAAAGTCACTTTTCACCCGAGCTAGCACGAACCAGGCTTGATTTGTTGATTCCGGCTTCGATCTGGTGAGGAACCAATTGGTCATTAATGACCCATAATAGCTCATGCAGTACTTGTATTTTGCATTCACCCTAATTGACAAGTTGATATCGCACCTTTATATTGTAAACCAATGAAGGATCATATGTTTCGATTTTAATTGAAGATCCAACATCCGACTCCAAACTCGAGCTAGCCATAAATCCTTTTATTGTCTGCATTTGTCTGATTCTCCCAAAGCGCGCACAGAAACACACAGCACAATGCACAACATAGAATACTTAAACTTCCAAGGCACTGAAGGAAGAGGCTCTCGGGCTCAGCATTCAGGAGTGACACCACGTAAGCCTTCATCCACATCATCAGGTAACGTGCCGCGCTGGCACTGAGGATCTTCTGCGATATCGTCCTGTACTCCTTGTGGTTCGGCCGCAATGTCTTCGACGAGAACAGCTTTCTGCGGGCTCTGTCGGCCACTCCTGAGATCGCATTTATAAGGCATCCGGGTTTCAAGTCTCGATATCGATCATGTTGGCGTCCAACTAAAATTATCCGAGCTGCCCAGAGACTCGCACCAGCCCCTGTAGTTTTCCCACATTTCTGTCAATGCTTGATCGCGGTGAGGTGTAGCATGATCAGTCAAATCCAGCATCATACTCAGGATGGCGTCTGGGAAAATCGCCAGATGCAATAAATGCATCACATCACCCAGGATTCCTTGACAAATCAGGATAGGTTTAGATCCAAACTTGCAGGCATGCGAAACCGCTCAATTGTCTTATAATGCAGAACAGAGTGCTCCACGGGGAGAATCCGATCATTGATGACAAAGGTGATTCACCATGGATTTGTCGGAATTCACCGGCATCGGCGATGAGCCTCGGAACCGAGTTTATTTTGGGGACACCAGGGTTTGTCCTTAAGCCACTCAGTAATTGCTATTCCGTCTTTAGATAACGTATATTGGGACGCATAGGTATTATTGCCACCCAGCCACGTCCCTCTGTGCGCTGCATTGCGACCAAAGGCAGTGTACAACAACTCGGGGTCGTTAGGTGCAGCAGGATCTTCCGAAATGTAGGTCCAGGCCAAGGCCTAGCTGGTGCGATTGAAGAATTTCAAGTAAATCATGCAATGAATGTGTGTTGCTAGTGCAGCTCGAGATTCTCCGCAATAATGACACATCATCTTCCTCGAGTAATCCCCTGGGCCATTACCCGTACGATTCATGGAGCTCTTGATTTCAGAAGTTGATCGATTCCAACATGCAACATATTGCGAGTGAGGCTCGGTGCAGGTAGAAAATCTTTTTCACAAACTCCAAATCCGCCTGCACCCCATCGAATATTCCAATATATGGCCCACATATGCGTTGGCCAGCAAGCTTGAAGCGCTGTGGCATGTACCCGGGGCCGAAAGCATTACCCCAAGGATCTGCCGTCGGATACACTCCGGCTCCTTGTTCAAACACAAAAAGCTGGCATTTAAAGTAGAATCACTTGTTGCATCGAAGCAGCCTAAACAGTCGAACGACCACTTGATCGTTTCAAGTATCGTGTGGCGGCAATCACCAGAATGATACTGCATGTTCATGCAGCTGATCCTAGGTGCAAGTTTCTGTGTAGAACGGCACTACAATAGCTGGGCAATGGACTCTCTCCATATATTTGCCAAAACACAAGAAACGTGACAGCATTGTCGATGAGGAAGCCATCGGCGCCAAGAGTGCAAAACATTCAAAGGTTTGATGTCCTGATGAGAGATAATTAGGCCAGCAACATAGTCAGATGCAATATGGGATCCGTTGTTCAGCCGAGTGACTCGTAGACTCCGCCCCATCCCCGTATATCCTCAATGGGATACAGAATCTGGGATCGGTGGCCTCAGGGTCATGTAAGCGCAATGGCATTGCACGAATTAGAAAAATGCACTATGCAGTCTTGTAGCCTGAAGAAGCGGGTGCTGCCGAAACCAGTCGGTGTTGGATAATTCGTGCCAATACTTCAGCAAATCATTTTCCTCGATCGGCTGGGTATTTCCACGACGCAGGGACATACAATGCAATCTTAAGGAACTGTTGCGGTGAATAGGTTGCAGAGAGTAGATAAGGATAAGTGATTTCTTTGCTAAAAAAACGATATATAGGCTATGTGACTAATATATATATATATATATATATATATATAGGCTAGGTGACTAACTTATTCATATATACACTAGTCGAAACATTAGCTCGAGCGAGATAAAAAAAAAACAATCCCGAGACAGGTCGAGGGAGAGAGAGAGAGAGAGGCAGCGACCGTGAAAAAAAAAAACAACAGAAACAAACAGAGTGATATATCATAGCTACAAGCAAAACACCAGAGAGAGAGAGAGAGAGAGAGAGAGAGAGAGAGAGAGAAGGAGCGAGCCAGAGAGAGTAGACTGAAGTATTTGTGCCCGCGAGAAGAGAGAGAGAGAGAGAGAGAGAGAGAGAGAGAGAGAGAGAGAGAGAGAGAGAGAGAGAGACAGGGAGGAAAGAACGAAAGAAGGAGAAAGAGTGCCCTGCATAGCAAGCATCATTCCTAGTTTGAGCCAAGCTCCTTGCCCGTAAGCATTTCGATCTTGCCGAAGTCAAAGAGGGCACCGATAATCTCATGCGGCAGCAGCAAATGGTGCTTGATGAGGCGTGTGACCGGGCCATGCCGATCCTCGTATACCTTGGGATGAAACTCACGCTGCATTTTATGCTTAGGGGACATGGAAGCCATGCAGTTGAGACAAGTCACGGATTTGAGCTGTATCCTCATTCTATCAAGAATTGATCGCTGATCAAAAATCATATTGTCATAACATGATGCACCGCCATACCCAATTAATCGTTAAGTTGCAGCTGGGACTCTGGAAAGCTTGTGGTAGGATCTTTCTCCACGGTTGTTTATCCGCCCATCGACTGAGAGCCCGCATTCGGCCCCATCCATTCTGACAGATGAAGCTTTGGGCCAGTTGTTGTAGATCCTTCCTCAGGCAATATGAAGCAAAACAGAAAGCAATATTGCATACTAGACCGATGCAGCAGTTCATGCAATAGTGCACTCAAGATGCGGCACAATCGACTGAGGAAGAGAGCGGAGACGAGCCAAAGCAGTGTTGAGCTCTTCGAGAGGGACCTCGCGACGCTGGTGAGTTATGCTGCAACTTAATGGGTAGCCCTATATAATCTTGAGCCCACCCCTAGTTAACCCAAGCTAGTAAAACCCAACTGAAGCTACGATGGCTTTGCAGTGAGCATTGGGATTTGAGGTTGTCGGTTTGGTTGAAAGTGTTTGGGCTTTAGTCTTCGGGCCTTAGGAATGGTTCCCCCTAAAACCGGCGAGGCGATACATTCGGTCGAGAGTTTTGCAATAGATCAGATCTAGTATTAGAAAGGCTTGGGGATTTCGGGTTTGCGCTTCAGCTTCTTCGTGATTTCGGGCAGCAAACAAAGTGCTGATGAAGCCACATCGGCATTGGTATAGGCCTAGGCTGATTTTGGGTCAAGATTCTGGGGTTTGGGGTAAGTTTTGGGTGTTTCCTATTTTTATTAGTTTTTGATGTAGGCTTTGTCGTGTTATGCCTTTAAGTTGATAGCGGTGGTTTCGGAATAAGGGTCCGGTTGTTCGGGTCATGTAGCATTAGATGAAGAACCATGAACCGACAGCTAGCTGAGAGGCAACCTGGCCTGCCCATGAGAAAGCAGTCGCAAAATATCATCACAGGTTTCCTGCACGTAGTTCGTGGCCCAGTTGCTGTCAGCTGCAGCCATCCATCATATCGAAAGTCAAGCCACATCAGAGCTCCGAAGCATCCAAACAAATGACTCTAGATAAGTCTTTGAGATGGTGATGAGTGGTTCTAGCCATATCTGCAAGCTTAAAGGTCCCATATGGTGCCTTGAAACACGGAAGAAGCCAAGAACTAATATCAGGGTATATATGATGCTGCAAACTGGAGAAACAGATAACTCAGAAAACTCAAGATCGATTACAGCTAAGTATGTTGGAGTCATGGACGTGGGTTTGCATGGATTGCTCGGTACAAGTACTAGCAGTACATATCCCTAGCGCTTGAACGAGAAGATTACAGACCTCAAACCCTCTGACCTGCGGGGTTCTGATGTGTTGTGTGTCGGAAGACTTGCATGAGCTCAGGTATAACAAACTACGAATGCTGCTGGACTCCTGGACAATGCACTGGCAGTGATGATCACGATCTGCTGGCAGGCTGGGACAACACGACTTTTGCCCGTCGTCGGCACATCACACTCCAGCTCATCGACCCCTATGATCACTAACCCAAGCAGTTCTTATGCTCAGGGTCAAAACACTAGGCTTGAATGCACTAGGCACACGCAGCACCCGACCTATCCAGCAAGTGCCCTGGCCCTGTGTATGTTCGACAGCATAGCCCAACACACATTTCACAACTTGCCGGTATATGGCATCAGACCTGGTTTGTTCGAGAGCTGCCTGTGCTTGCAATACAAGCCACCCACAGCCCCATTCAAGCATCTTCGATTTAGCAGCGGGCTCGCTTTGCAGAAGCCTCGTCGGCCTCTTCAGGCCATTCCTCCTCCTTTTCCTGCTGATCTGGCGTTTCCTGATTAAACCCTTCATCATCTTCATATTGTTCATCATCTTCCTGGCCTTGGTCTGCCTGCTCCTTCTTCTGCTTCTCCTTTTCTGCTTTCTCGCGCTTCCGCTTCTCGGCGGCTTTACCTAAGTCTTTACTCTTTTGCACTTCTGGTACACATACTCGGTTTGTATGAACACATAAGAACAAATTAAGCTTGGGGGCGGCGTTCCTGCCCCTGATAAATCCCTTCGGCATCAAGGACTTGTCGTTGAAACTCCTGCCGGCCCTACATGTTAAATCCAAATCTGTGTCAAACCTCAAAAGAAGTCGATCCTTGAGGGGGTCGGCTTTATAAGCATTCAGAATCTCCAGGCATTGCGGAAGTGGCGTGGATGCGAAGACCATCCCCTGGATCCTGGGATAGCAACATGGTTCTTCATTGGGTTTGTGGTGCTCGGGGCTGCGATAAATTGGGGCCTCAGTGTTAACTTAGGGTTGGCTAGGGTCCGGGCTCTAAGTTTATATGATAAGAGCTGCGGTGTGCACAGTCGAAGCTAGTGTTGTCGGCGGTTTGGGTTTGGTGCGGGTTTCAGATTTTTGTGGGGGTTCAGGTTAAATGGCTAAAAAGAAATAAACTGTTGTGCATTCAAAGTACTCGTCGCGGATACGGGTGCACTCGGAAGATATCCACCCCAATTGTTGGACCTGCGACTCCTGGTTCGCCAATCCACAATGAGCTAGTCCGGCAGCAACGGTAACTGCTTTATCAGCGAGGTCCCGTATCCTCAGTTGCAGGATGGGCTGGTGATTGCATTCAAAGAATCTTATCGGGTCAAAACGGGTCAAGGCTTTACAGGCATATTGGGTTTGTAGAAAGCCGAGCAACGATTGTAAATCCTTGTGGAAAGCCTTCTGTTCCTGCTCCTCGGCAGTCAGCTCCTGGAATCAGGCAGTAGAATCCCCGTGAATTGGTTGGTTGGAAACCCATCTCCGATGGTCCTTTTTGCCCTTTCGATTCTTTCCGTGGCCTTTGCCTCCTTTGTTATTTCCCATAGTGAACTTTCCCATATCAGCAATTTTCCCCTCCAGCACTTCTCCGATGGCGGCGCGTTCCGCCTTATTCGAAGATGCAGTCGTCGTTGCTGTGGTCTTGTTGCCCACTCTGCTGATGTTGGCACCTCAAGGCGGATTGAAACCAAAGCAATAGTAAACTAGCGTGCGATCACACGGTGGTCTTCATGACGACAAGGCACTGCTGATAGCAACGTTCTTGAATACCTTATATATACGCCAGTCTTCGCTGTCGAATTGGGGGTGCTTCTTCCCCACTTGGCCTTGCAGTAGATCCAAGCAAGAACCAACCGATGTTCCAATTATGGGACAACGTACTATAATTATTGAGGCAACGACTCTTCTGGATGTTCTCCACGAAGGCTACCCCTCCTGGCAAACCTTCGTACTTTTGCTTGATGATGCACAATGGAAGTTCTTCGTACTGCTCTTTCTCTTTGCTTTCTGAAAGCCTCAGTTGTCGATACATCGAGGCTAGCAACCACATCAAACAAACACGGCAACATATAAGAGAGCCCAAAAACTCCTCGTAGTATGGCGAGACCTCAATGGTTGCCAAATTCTCCTTGTCCAACAAGAAAGCCTTTAGAAAGGCGAACCTTGGTCTGGGCTTTGGTGTCGGTTTTGTGGGTGAGGGCTTTAAGATTTTGGCGATGTATATACCGTTGAATGCAGGGTAAGCCACCGTGCCAAAGATCCCGCTGGTGTTGCGGCCCATTGAGCAACTAGACCTTTGCGTAGCCCTGCGAGTCACCATACTTCATCAGCACAATCAGTCTTCCAGTACAACAAGAACATTTATGGGGGTTTACGTGTATGGGGGATTGTAGGGTTTTAGGGGTAACCGTCCTTGACCGTTGGTCATCCGGCGTCTGAGTTTCTCATTCAAGGCCTTGCGCTGCTGGAGCGGGATATCACTGGGCTTCTGCAGAGCCTGGGCTGGCAAGAGAGGCTCGAGGGGACTAGGGTTTAGGGTTTAGGAGTTTAGGGGTTTAGGGTTTGTGGTTTATGTAGTTGAGGAGTTTAGGGGTTTAGGGTTTGTGGTTTATGTAGTTGAATTGAATCGTCTAGCTATTGCATGGCACCTCAATTTGTGCTCGTTCCTCGTCAGTCAACGGTCGGACCTCAGATTCGGTACAGATAATGAGGCTTTTCACACACATGCGCTATGCGACATGTATCTGTTTTACGTAAAGACATACTGCCACTGAGCCGCGCCGTCAGTTTCGGGCACCATCAACGGTTCCATTTCCACAGGGCCGGTACCGTCACTCAGGGTTGAGATACCAGTATCCGAACGAAGGAGCGATTTCCCGGGCCTCGGTTTCAGATAGGCAGACACAGAAGTGTACAACGGCATCAGTAGTTGCACATGTATGTGCATGCAGACGGCTCAGGCTGTAAGTCTAGCAGCTTCGAAGCCGGGGAAGGGGTCGCCGCTGTAGTGGATCCCGCATCGGAGACTGCATGTAATAGTGGCTCGATCTAGAGAGTTACTACTAGGACTTAGCAATTTTCGGTCATGGGATGACGAGATTGCGGCTTATACTTTCGGGTTTGTTGGGGCTATGGGTTACTGGGAGTGTTAGCTGTGAATAGCTGATTAACACACCCGCACACACACACACACACACTAATGCACACAAACACACACAAAGACTCGGACATCAGCACACATGCACACCGACCCCCGTGCCTCCTCCGAAGGACACCCGGCGCACCACCGCGTGAGGCCCGTCATTGGCCCCAGCCTTGCGCTTGCCGTTGCTGTCCGGCTCCTCGGGTGTGCTCTGGCCTTGGCCCTTCCCCTTCAAGCTCATGCCCTGGCTGCCCTTGCCCTTGGTTCCATCACTTGCGCTGGCGTTGATCTGCCCTGCTCTTGATCCTTTGCCCTTTGGCTTCATCGAGTTGTCCGGTGACCCTGCCGGCGATGGCTGACTCGGGGGAGTACCTGTGCACGGGCTGTGTGATGTAGTCTTTGGTGGCGGTGTGTGTGGGTGATCGGCCGGGTCCTTACCACCGCCCCCCTTTGTTGGAGCCTTACCATCGCCTTTGGTGCCACCTCCGCCCTTTGCTGCTATGGCATTGCCACCGCTGCTGGCTGAGTCCTTACCATCACCTTTGCCACCACCGCCACCGCCCTTCACTGCATCCTTACCTTTGGTTTTGCCAGACCCCTTTGATGCATCCTTACCAACGGCTTTGCCACCACCCTTTGCTGCAGCCTTACCATCGCCTTTGCCACCGGCGCCACCGCCCTTCACCGCATCCTCACCACTGGCGTTGCGGCCCTTCGTTGCATCCTTACCGTCGCCTTTGCTACCTCCACCCCCCTTTGCAACTGCATCCTTAGCCAGGCCACCCTTTGATGCATCCTTGCCAATGCCTTTGATGCCCTTTGCTGCATCCTTGCCGCCACCCGTGCCACCTCCACCCTTCGTTGCAACTGCGTCGGGGCCCAAGCCACCCTTTGATGCATCCTTACCAATGCCTTTGCTGCCCTTTGCTGCATCCTTACCATCGCCTTTGCCACCTCCACCCTTCATTGCAACTGCGGCGGGGCCCAAGCCACCCTTTGAAGCATCCTTACCAATGCCTTTGCTGCCCTTTGCTGTATCCTTACCATCACCTTTGCCACCTCCACCCTGTGTTGCAACTGCAATGCCACCGCCCTTCACTGCATCCTTGCCATTGGCTTTGCCAAAGCCCTTTGATGCATCCTCATGGGTGGCTTTGCCACCCTTCCTTGCATCCTTACCGTCGCCTTTGCTGCATCCAACCCCCTTTGCAACTGCACCCTTACCCAGGCCGCCACCCTTTGATGCATGCTCACCGCCGGCTTTGCCACCCGTTGCTGCATCCTTACCACCGGGTTTGCCACCACCTTTTGAGGCATTGCCTTTTGCTCCGCTTTCATCGCCACCGCCCTTTAAACCCTGGGTTTTGCCACCGCTGCAACCCTTTGCTGCACTGCCGCCCTTGGTTGTACCGTTGCCGGAGCCCTTTGGCACAGCTTTACCGGCATTGCCGCTTGGGGACAGGGTCTCCGAGGGAACCTTGCCAACGTACTCGAAATGTCGTGGCTGTGTTTCCACCGACACACACACGCCTTCACCAGGCGAGCTGGATAGGGAACCGGAGCCCCCCTTCTTTCCTTTAGCCCCCATGGCGGAACAAAGCTACAGATCCGCTTAATTTGATCCTCGATGATGCTTCGGGGCGCGTGCGAATTGCTATTAAGTGCTGAACTACCGATACACGCTGATACACGCTATTCGGTGGTATATACCCGCAAATACACGCAGATACACGGGTATACACGCTACCGGTTCGTACTGCTTCGGATTGGGTTCGCTAGGGCTAGGGTAGGTATATACACACAGCGGTTCGTTTTACAGCGCCCCGTATGCAGCCCCTGCACGACAAAACTGCTCATTGGCCACGCTAATGCTGGCAGCTGACCCGACTCTCGATCTCAAGCCACTGCACCAGGACTGCAGCGGCAACACTGGAGACCCTTCACAGCTGGCATCTTACTTGCCGACCAAGTTCTCGAGGCCCGAATCAGAGCTGGCATCATCCGTGTCATCAAATAATTCCATATTAATCTCGTCGACAACGGGTTTTGGTTTCATAGTCTTGAAGTGCGTGTCCAATAGGTCTGCAACCTGCACACACTCATCGGTTCTATACATGTTGTGACCGAATTTGGAGCTTCAGTTTCAGACCAGTGGCATTCATCGCGAACTTGCCTGGGTAGATAGCAGTAGCTGTCAGGTCTTTCCCACCGACCTGATCTGTGCAGACGAAGCTCTATATAGGTGTTGCTATACATGCTATATAAATCGACCGATTGCGAATACCAGGCCACTCTGCGATGGCGGCCATGGACATCAATATATCCCCGGCTGATATCCATCTTCGCGAAGGATTGGATGCGTTGCAGCTGCTTCCTGCAATAAGGCATATGAGTCGCTGGCATGTAACATAAAGGTGGGCGACTATATCTGGGCTTAAGAACGGGATTTTTGGAGTGGTCGATCAGCTTCACTTACTTCATTTACATACCCAGGTTCTTTGGATATAGTGTCGTAAGAACTAATTGATTAATGTTTCTTACCGAGATCCCGGAATAAAGCTCTACATTGCTCCCTGAAGAACAACTCTCAGTGTTACCTAAACGGTTCAGGGTTTAGGGTTTTACAAGGACAAAGGGTTTATAAGGCTAGGAAAAGGGCAGGGTTTGTTCAAACAAGAAAAGTCATGCACCGAATCAATTAATAACTGGTTCAATGAGCCAGCTGCTCACGGGGAAGTTCGTAGGTTAGTTGGATCCGTTGGCCGGTCCTCAGCATTGGGGTCGCTGGGTCAAATAAAGGGGGCCCGTGACAGTTTATAAGATAAGTCATTGCTAGCAGGTATATAATCAGTTGTTAGCTAGCTAGCTGGTTGTATATAGCTAGCTAGCAACTATTGCGTAACTTCATTCTTAAGCCAGATATCTTAGTTAATTAGTATGCTGGTTTTATAAGTTAGGAAGATGGATAGCTAGTTAGGTATAGCTGCTTATAGCAATTACAATACAACTCGATCCTCCTCGATCCACTCATCTGTTGGTACAGCTTGGGCAGAAAAGGTGCGGTTCCCCATAGCGTAACCTGGGCAAATGCGGGGTTCTTTAAGGCTTTCTCAGTAGTTTAATTAGACAAGTTATTTCCCGGCTACACCCATCTATCATTCAAGCAGCACATTTTCTTGACGGCGCACCCACGGCACCCAAGCATATGTTCAGGCCTTTGGCTTTGTGCGCTTTCAATCTGGCCTCAGGATAATTTTCTAATTGGCATTGCAGCAACGAACAAGCACTGCATGAACTATATCTAGTGCCTGCTGGTATGATCAAGTCGGAACACTCGAATACAAGGCATCTCGAATAACATGGAGCCGGTCGGGTTCTCGAGAATGTAGTACGAGCCGGATCGGAAATGATACTCCAACCTGAGAACACTCTTGAAACGAAGATCTCGACCTCCAAACCAAGGTGCCCGGAACTATGCGACCGAGTGACAAGTATGCGACCCGTCTTGCCAAACGATTCGCGGTTTTCACTTTCTTGAGCTTCTGATCGCCTTCAACAGACACGTGTTGGAACAGACCTACGGTTTTGGGGTTACCATGACCTATCTAGTCTATGAATGCAGGGCCTTTCACATTCAATCGTCGCCGCTTGGACGATCCACGACTCCTAAGCTAGTGTCAATGTACGGGAATCGAAGCACCGAACTAGTCTTGGGGTCATGGTATGTTGCAGCCAAAGGTCAGGAATATCCAGCTGGAACATGGTACAGCATACCATGCCACACCCTGGGGTCGGAGCCTTCTCGCCTAAGTTTTTCCGACCGTTGGAAAGCCACGAGCAAGGGAACCTAGCATTCTGGGGAGGCTATTGATCTGGGAGTTCGGGTTTATGGGGTAGCTATGGTTTTCTGATAATTTCTCAGGGTTGGGGATGTATGCTTCAAGCTCATGGCAATCAGTAAATAAGATGATGATGTGTGGCTGCTGGTATAATACCTTGCCAGCAATGCTGTTGTGTGACGGGTTGGGGCAACATCATTTATAGCCGAGTTGCAGAGGTCAGGAACACCAAGAAGCCGAATGCCGTCAAGATATCCATTTTCGAGGAATAGGCCACCTGGGTTAGGGGCAACAGACCTTTAAGACCTATACGTAACTTGTGATTGAAGCAACCGAGGCACGTCCACAGCATGGGCCCTCAAGCCGTAGTGCTTTGCAGCAGAATACAACAGATGTTCTCCTCGTGGTTTCAATCTACAAGCTCGATTTGTTACACGACGCAAGCAGCAACATAGATCAGTCCGGCAAAAATTTCCACAAAATCGAGATCGTCTGGCTTCGGGCCAAAACCTCGGTAAACATTCAGCCCCGATACCTCGAGCCGAGCACTTGAACCCCTTACCTGCATGAGGAATATCGATAGCCGAGCTGCTGATCCTCAAGGTCGCCAAGGCCACGAGCAATTTTGTGAATTTCATTGCGTGTTCGGAAATCTGTTATATGTTACGTATAGGTTTCTTTTGCATTTTACACGAAGACCTATAGGGAACTCTGAGCAAGATGTCAGCCTCTAACAGCATCGAGCAGGGACAGTTGCGCATGCACAAGACAAACGACCAGAGGCATGACAGCATCGAGCATCCGCTATAGGATTAAGGTGCGTTTTGCAAACTTTCGCTGAAGATCATCTTCCCCAGAGCAATTACTCTCGCTGTCCATTGAACAGCAAGCAAGGCAGATCGAAAACGGTGCGCGCACACTGCCATCAACACTCCCTGCAGCGTCACTTCAGGCAGCAAGCAAGCTATCGCTAAGCCGCTAGGCATAGGTAAGTCTCCATTGTGTTTGGAGTGATCGACCCTATATTGGCCTGATGACGCAAACCCCTTGTTGAGACACAGCAGATCGCACACTGAATGTGCCAAAAGCTACTTCAAACAATTGCGTAGCGGCGACGTTTCTGCTCCTGCAGGTCCATATTGGCGAGCACCTCTTTGCGCTCTTCACTGTGGTTCCACCTGCAGGCAAGTGAAATCGGGTTTGGGTTTGGCTTAATATAGGTTTCAGGTTTTCTTGTCGATTCTTCTGTAACCGGAAACTCCCATCCCTTAAATAATTTCAAGCACCTCAACCTGAAAAGGAACTAGCCTAAAACTTACAATATAAAATTATATGGCTATGCAATCCTGAAGAACTTTAGGTCACCCTAGCAATGTTGCAAGCCAACGGTTTCGCGGAAATTCATGTTACAAGTGCCGCCTATTGGAATTCGCGACTGAAAATATAAATCAGTCATGTGCAAAACATGCCCCTCCAAGCTCGATACAACTGCACGCATGCATGCACCGCTTTCAAGACTTGACAGATTTAGGCCACAGTAGCGGTTTAGGGCTAATATTTAATTAGGGTTCGGCAAGTGATCTGACACGACCCAACAACCCTACACGGCAAGGTATTTAACGAAACATCCCATCCGATTGATATAATCTAGCAACCATGTTGCAAGCACGACCATTGAAATGGACGCAAAAGATAAGGATGATTGCCGCATGCACAAGTGTGGCGCGCATGCACTCGTCCGATCGCGATCATCCGTCATAGATCTGCAGATCGCTGGACCGCCAAATGGAGTTATGCTCTCAAGCGTCAACGGTTCGTCGCACTGCCCATGCAAGACGGGGTTCGGCGCCACCCAGATCGATCATTAGGAATCGTTGATTACAGATTGTGCCATCGCGTGGTATGTAGTCGCTCGCCAATGCAAATTTGCTCTCACGTTTTTGGTGTTCTGGCCGGTTGGAATCAACTAAAGGATCCCGATAAAGTTAGCGTCGTCTTTCGTTTTAAACCTCTCTCCCCTATAGCGTTCTCAAACGCTGAAGGACAGAAGCGAACTAGCTGCCGAATCCCATGCGTCCATACTAATGATTACTAATGATGCAGAACTCTCTAGCTTCATATGGTTGACAACAAAAAACAGCCAACTATCACCCGATCCGATAGCTGGAAGGAATACCGATGATTCGATGGGTTCGGTCGACTACATCCTCGAGGACAGCACACCCATGCCGATGCCTTTACGTACTGTAACGGTAGCCTTGGGCCCACGTTCCAAGCATATAGGGATCGAGGTGTTTTGCCCAATGCACCAATAGACACTGGGAATTGGGAACTTCGCTGAGGTATTCTGGTGCCCAAATCACAATCCTCAGCCCTAACCTTCTTGCAAACAACTATTTCAATAGCCACTAAAGCACTTGATCCCCTAATCCAACACGGCCTACTATTCCTGACTAAAGCCATATCCCTTAAAGCAGTGGGGCCCAAATATGATTTGGTTCGCTGTTATTGTTCTTGGTTGTATTCGTTTTTGCTTTGCGACTATATGCTCATAAGCAGCGTCAATATTCAGAACCTTAAGTTCGACACTAGAGTCTCGAATTCCCTCTGTAAGTACCCAGATTTTATTTAGTGGGGGAGCTGCTGATCCATCGATCCGCCATATATATATATATATATTGCAAGCATAGAACCGAATGAAACCGAAACTTCAGATCGTCCACGATACCTAATTGCTGACAATGCAGATCCCCAACAATTGGAGCCCATGACATTAACCAACTATATCGAAACTTAAAACACTCCGAACGGCAGTCTCTTGAAGTTCCTGCCTTTGCTGTCGGTCGGCAAAGGACATGGGGGGAAGCCTGGGCTATAGCGGCTAGCAGCATAAAGCACAAGCTCAAGCTTAAACAAAGACCCCAGTGCTACATAATTATGGTTGCATTCAGATGAGAAACGTGGCAAAGAAAGCCTTCCGGCGGATGTTGTATTCGGTGTCCGCATACGGCGCCCTTTTGGGTTTGTTGGGATCTGCAGCCTTTGCTTTGGACTTCGCGCCCGCCTTGGGCTTTGCAGCTGCTGTTTGCTTTGTTTTTTTGTTGTCGGCTTTGCCAGCTTCTGCAGCTTCTTTCGGAACCTCCACTTGCTTGTTCGCAGCCACAAGCAATCGTTGGCGGTGCGGAACGACAGGTCTGTGGCTGCCCCCTAATGCTGCCTGGACAACACTGTCGGGTACATCTGATATTGCGGTCACTGCTCGGATCTCGAATGCCTGAGCTAGCAGCTAGGTTTGAAGCAGATAAACTCCAGTCTAGAATCAATAAGAACCATATATAATATGGTTGCCCCCGAAATCTGAAGCCGAAGCCACAGCAGGACCTCTGCAATCGCGAGCTTTATCAGCTGGTGCTGTGGCCTGCATGTGCAAGCTTGGAGTTAAAGCGATGCGGCTGGGCCATGAATTAAACTCACTTCCAATACCAGACGTTGGGGTACTTCGGTCGTTCACATTAATAGGGCTCCTTAACATACTGAGGCTATATATAAGCAGGCTACCAGTAACGAAATCTTCTGCAATCCAGGGTCTGCTAGTATTAATGCTTCCCATCTCATTCAGAGAGATCGACCGCGTGCACAAACATACAATTGGACACTCTGAAGCTCCCACTCCTCTCAGCCCGATAGCCTGTTTGGGAGCTGCGGCGTCCATCTTCGGGCACCTGGGCAGGGTTCTACATATATATAGGATCTAAGTCTTAAGCTTTAATTTGTCGGGACTCACTGCTGGGTATCAAATTCACTTAGTTGTGGACGGCCCGGTTGCGGATTTTGCAGCGGGGCCAGTCGATGCTCGTGCAACCTCAATGAATATTCATACAGGATGTTGCTCGACTCAGAACCTAAAACCGATCTAGATTGTACTGCAGCAGCTTTAAAGCTTCCGAGAGTCCATGAGCTTCTTACAGAGCTCAAGTCGATCTTCGTCCGAGGCCGCATGGCCAAGCTGCAAAACCAAGTCCTGTCGTGGATATTGCAGGATGGGTGGAATCATTACATTTGCATACATGAAGTATTAATGCATAGATAATTACATTGTAATACATATGTATATATATATATATATATGTATACATATATATATATATATATATGTATGCAAATCTACAAGCTATCGGCTCTGAGTTTACGTGATAACAAGTTTAGCGTCAACCTGAAATCACTGATTAATGTCCTTCTCGGATCACTGGGCTTCTTGGCTTATGAAATCAATCCATGTGTGCAGTATGTTACCAGTTGCCTGTTTATATGTGCTGCCATGAACTTAGATTCGCCGATGAAAATTACCATGTATGCAAGTGTGTACACATAAACTAATGTAATGACAACTTTGCACACGATTGATATTGGTTTCCATGAGTTCGTCTGTTTAACACACATACAAACAATGACCTGCCGAAAACTTTATCACTAATCATCTTATTGCACAGCCGTAAATTTTGTTAGGTGAGTGCGAACTGAATAAAAACCCGAAGCTTCGAATCCTACACCATCCTATTCATAGGGGTCTTGGTATTGGCGACCCTTTACTCTCTTAATCTAAGCTCAACCTTATGTTCAAGCGACTGTCCTCGAGGCTTTGGGGCATCTCGTCGGGGTTCGCATCCTTTTCGTTGTGGGCAATATCCTGAACAGGTGACACTGAAGCGGGAGAGATTCCGCAAACTAATCTATATTTTTGCCCAAATGTGAACCTACCAAAAGCTCTTGAATTGCTTCCAATCGCTGATATAAAGGATTGGCATGTAGCTGTCTATCTAGTATATCTACCTTGCCTTATTCGATTTCTATGTACATATGCACATGAATTTTGGCACTTGGTGAGTTGCTACTCTAGCCTTTGTTCTGTTTGTATATGGTCGGGTGCTTATTGGTGTTGAAAGTTTCGACTACAAAATCGAGGTTCATTCATACTAGATACGTTCAAACCACCGTCCTCGAGGCTTTCGGGCATCTCGTCGGGATTCGCACCCTTTTCATTGTCGGCGGCTGTAGACTCCTGCGCGTGAGCAAATTGAAGCGGGGAGGTTATAAAAGGTAAACGTGCGAAAGGCTCCTGACCAGCACCGGGAACTTTATACTTGGACCACCAGGACTGCAGGCGTGCTTGCTCGGATTGGCTAGGGTACTCCGCGGACACGGAAGCCGGGGCTTTAGGCCAATCTATCCATGTCGAGCCGGTGACAGTGGCATCGTCTTGGGGCCACTGCTCCGTATCGATGCCGTCCTGGTCCAGCTGCTCCGGAAGCGGATCGTTCTCATCAGCTGCCCAATCCTCATCATCGGCCGCCAACTGCTGGCCTTCATCGCGATCCGCGGCATACTGCCCATCCTCGGCCCACTGCCCATCCTCGTCGGGATCGGCGGGCCACTGCCCATCCTCGGCCCACTGCCCATCCTCGTTCAAAGCAGCGGCACATATGCCGCCTTCATCCGGATCCTCGCTCCAAGGCCCATCCTCATCGGGATTGGCGGCGTCCTGCACGTCGGCGGCCCACTGCTGATCATGATCGGCGGAAAACTTGCCGCCCTCATCCGGATCCGTGGGCCAAGGCTCATCCTCATCGGGATTGGCGGCCTCCTGCACCGCGGCGGCCCCCTGCTGATCATGATCGGCGGAAAACTTGCCGCTCTCATCGTGATCTTCGGCCCATTGTCCATCTTCATCCTGATCTTCGTCCCATTGCCCATCTTCATCGTGATCTTCACCCGTTTGCCCATCTTCATCGTGATCTTTGGTCCATTGCCCATCCTCATCGGGATCTTCGCTCCTTTGCCCATCGTCATCGTGATCTTTAGCCCATTGCCCATCATCATCGGGATTGGCGTCCCACGGCCCATCCCAATATTGCCCATCCTCATCGGGATTGGCGGTCTCGTCCCATTCCTTATCTTCGCCGGGGTTTTCGGTGCCCTGCTTAGTGCCGCCGGTAGCCTCATCCCATAGTTCATCATTCGGCACGTCCCCGACGCGCCAGTTCCCATCCGCATCAAGCCAATGACAGCTGCCACATGCACTGCCGAGGACCGGCTGGGACTCGCTCTCCGGCTCCGCTTCCGAAACTTCCGGATCCACCCCAGCTGCTTCGCAAGATTCCACATACCCTTGATGGGCTGCTTCCCAATCGATGTCACTGCCATCCTGCGACAGATCGCCACTAGCTAGCGTGCAAATATACTAGATCTAGGATGAAGTGGGGGAAGGTTCACGGATTAGGGTTTCCAAAGGGTCCTGGGCATAATACCGCATCGGCTGATTATCCGAACCATCGTGATCCACCTGAGATCGATTCAGCAGGAGAACAAATCCCACTCTCACTCGAAACGAACACATGTGCATGTGGACTTGTGCAGTCTTCCGGGCCAGGTCACCTTGGGCAGTTCCTCCCCCTCCTTAGATAGCAGAGCAGCTTTCAATCACATATATATATATATGGGTGTTGGACTGCCATCGATATTGCATGCTCTCAACTTGCGATCTACAGGAACCTTGGGAGCAGGAGCTAAACCACCCCCTTCTTCCCAATCATCTTCAGCATCGTCGTCATTCCATTCATCTTCCATATCCTCGACTGCACATAGAGTCGACTGAAGACAAACAGCATAATTTGCGCTAAACTCAAATCAGTGCAACCCACATCAACATGTATTGATCGAAGCAACTTCCGGGGCCTCATCGGGAATGCAAACGTAGCTCGGCCTTGGCATACCAAATCGCTCGGGAACAAGTGCGTGTGTGTTCACGTTTGTGTCGTGTGCGTATAATGTACATGTATTTTCTATAAGAGTATGAATGCGTATATCATATGCGTATATGTGTACGGCAGCGTATGTGTCCATGTGTGATCAAGTATACGTGTGTGTGTGTGTGTAATGTATATAGTATGTATATAGTATGTATGTGTGTATGTATGTGTGTATATATATATAGATATATAGATATATAGATATATAGATATATAGATATATAGATATATAGATATATAGATATATAGATATATAGATATATAGATATATAGATATATGTATATCTGTGTATATGTGTATTGATAGTGCATGCTGCTCAGTTGCGTCTTCCCACGTAGGCGCAAGCGTTTCGAGGGCACCACATCCTTAGATACAAACGCGGAGCCGTTTTCACGAATACTAGTGCGCATAGAAACTTCTTATAGTATGTAGGCAAGGAACACTCAAGTGGCCAGAAGACCTCTTGCTAACCAGTGGTACTTGCGAGTCCTGCCCATGCAATTTGCAGCTTATCAACTAATCTAGAAAGCGAAATTCCATCGTTAGCGGTCCCTATTACAGTCAGTCCTCCATAGGGTCCACGTCCACGGCTGAATCCCAAGGCTGAGTCTCATCACAGTCCATGGCTACAGTGGATCGTCGGGCCCTTTGAAGTAGTTTGGACAAACTACTTGTTGTCGTATCTAGCCAACCGTCCAGTGAGAAGCCTGGGGTAGATGGAAGCTCAACGGCGTGGTCTGTCACCACTTTCTGCAAGGCGTCTTTCACGATCCCCTCAGTGAAAATTCTGCCACTTACTTGGGATGCAAAATGCAGCCTTTGCCTGCTGGAACGATGCCTCAACGTATTAGTGGGAACCACTGTTCCTGTAGTCCTGATGTCGGACAGATAATCCCGGAATAAGTGCTGCCAGAACAGGGCTGAAAGCTGCTCCACTTTCGACCTCCGAGAATTTCCCGCTTGGGTCGAAGGCATGGCTAGGATTTTGCTAATTGGTGCAACTTAAAGAGATCGGTTTGAACTCACTATTCTCCGAACATGTTTGGGGCTCCTACGTACCCTAGCGTTTTATTGAGAAGTTTATATGCGTGCTTCATGCCTGTATGGCCGGCGCTCGAACAAAACCCTGTGGCATCACGATGTCAGAACACGTCTGGCATGCGGAATGTCACATGCAGTCGTCAGCTCTTGCAACTTCTCTGCCATTCGACCCGGTGCTGATCGATACTCTCAATGCAAACTTCAAAAATGAAAGAGGGGAGACAATCTGTTCTGCATGCCCATGGGCTGGACCGCGTTCCCAGCACAGATCGATCTTGATCTTCGGTCACCGTGCGAATCTGTATATACATATATGTATATGTATATGTTGTGTATGTATGCAAGCGTGTGCACATTGAAACTTGCTGTATTTATATATGTGTATATGTGTATAGGTGTATGCATATGTATATGTACATGTATAAGTGTATGTGTGTATATGTATGTATGTATGTATGTATGTATGTATATTTAAATATATATGTATACGTACATACATATATATATATATATATATATATATATATATATATACATATATGTATGTATGTATGTATGTACGTATACACGTGTGGATGTACACACATATATATATATATATATACATACATCATATACACATATACGTATCTTGGTGTATGTGTATATGATGTAAGTATATATATATGTATGTATGTATGTATGTATGTATGTATGTATATGTACATTTGTATACTGGTATATATGTAAATACGTATATACCATATGTATATGTTTGTGGGTCTATGTGTTTCTGTGGCTATGCACGTATGTCTATATATAATAAGGTTTAGGGTTTTGGGGTTTAAGGTTTTTTGTTCGAATCGCAATGGATCACGATCCTCGATCGTGATATACATGGATCGTTGGTGAGTGAAACGTAGATATTCCGCAAAAGACTGAACATATTTTTGCGGGCCGTGTGACTTGCGATCTTTGTGATTGGATTTCTTGGTGAAATCATGACTTAAATACTCAATTTCATGGCATATGGTCTACGGATCAGATCGAGCAACGGCATTATGATCTTCTGATCATCCCAAGTATGGGATCTAACCAGTTAATAGGAACGAACAAGCGAATGGGATCTAGAGGGCGAACAGCCCGTGCTGGAGGGAGGGAAGACGTGGCACTTATGTGTCGCTACACCCATCCTCCCGCTAACACGCCCCAGGGGGAGCGCTAGCGAGTTGCTGGCCATGCTGCTACCAAGCTGCTATACGCAGTACCAGCCTGGACGCTGCCGCTACTCCCTAGGCCACTGGGACGCTAACGCCTGTATTTTCAGGTGCGCTACGACCTGCGAGGTCTGTTCGCTAAGAGCCTGTAACAGGCGGATGTGGTTTAAGTGCGACGACCACGCTACTCACTGTTGTGATGGGTGCAAGCAGTGGAGCCGCGGGGAGGACTGGGGCGGCCGCTAAGACGGGCAGCCCCTGCCTCGCTACAGGCCCCGGCCTCGCTACTTGCACCCGCTACTTTTGCTTTGCATGCGGCTACTCTTGCAGCGCCCTCTGCTGCCGACCGCTAGCTGCAGCAAAAGTTCAGGCCGTCCCTCGCTACAGTTGCCAGTGTGTGCACGCTACAGTCATGCTACACACATGTCGGCAGCCAGAAAGAAGGGAAGGCTAGAGCGAGAGAGTGTCGAGAGTTTTGGGGGGGGAGGGGCCGGGGTCGGTGGGGCTGCTAGGGCCGCTCTTTGCTGCAGCGACCCCTTTTAGCGAAAGCTATCGACTGGCACTCCCTGACACACTCTCACGCTAGGAGCTTTTCCCCAATGTGCTAGCAGGAATTTTTCCCTTGAAGTTTTTCCCTAAGGTGGCGTAGGGCCCGTCGTGCCTGCTACCATGGCAGAGGCTCTGGCGAAGAAGCTAGCCCTCGGAAGCAGCGAGCTTCGATTCCTGCTAGTGCAACATAAAGTCTCGGATGCTATCCAATCCGAGCTCTTTTCCAACGGTATTGATACCGTCGCTAAATTTGCAGCCTCGGCAACAGATGAGGCGGACCTCAAGAAGATGCTAAAGGACAGCTTTGCAATTGAGCCGTCCACCTCGCTCGCTAGCCGCGCTCAGGCCGCGGGGGTCACCATCGCATGGAGGACCGCTACCTCCCGCTCCGAGCGGCAAGCGGAGGCGGAGGCTACAAGCGAGGTCCGGGATTGGGCAAAACCCATCCCCGCTACGGACTATATGGCCATGCGCCAGGCCTTCACCGCTAAGTTCGGAGACCTGGAGGACAAGCAAACCCCCGCTAAAGAGTACCTTGAGAAGAAGCTAGGCGAGCTCGAATCTGGCGAGTTCCGGGCCGAGCCGCTAACCGAGGTCATTAGCCGGGACGAGTGGGACCCCGACGCGCTACTGCCCGTCTGGAATGGCAATGGCACGCCATCCATGAAGAAGGGGGGAGCTAGGGCCCCCATGCCTTCTGGGCCGGAGCAGCTACGGCTGCGGCTCACGGTGCTCCAGAACACGCTAATCATGATGCAGCTAAGGCACCCCAACCGGGAGGAGCTACAGGATGTCACTATGGCCTCTTCGAGCGCTACAAAGACTATCTTCTCGGAGACTATTGCTATGGTCTCCGGTCCAGTGCCGACTCGGGGTCGCTAGTGCCCCCGTGGACCTTGGTGCTGAGCTACGAGCACGCTATCAGGAAGCACGCGTACAAGGTCATGGCCACGCGGCTATTCCTTCGGCGCTGCGCTAGTCCTTGCCTACAAGGACGCTAGCGTGAAGGAGAGGCACTTCACTACACCGCTAGCCCTCCATGCTAAGCGGCCGCAGCCCTGGACCTGGACGGAGGAGCGGCCTGCTAAGACCCCCAAGGGGAAGGGCAAAGGCAAAGACGTCCCCCCCAAGGGGGGCAAAGCTAAGAAGCGCCTGGGTGCCGATCGCACCCCGCAGGGGAAGCCCATCTGCTTCCGCTACAATGCCAAGGGATGCAAGAATGGCAACAAGTGCCATTTCGAGCACGTTTGCTCGCTATGCTTCGGCAAGCACCCAGCTACGAAGTGCCCCACCAAGCAAACGGAGGCCGCTAAGGAGGATAAGCCCTCCAACTGACCCGCTACGGCGGCTGCGCCCTCAGTGCCTGCGACCCCCCCGGGGGGGGAAGCTACGCCAGACCCACTGGCTGCTACGCCAGCGAAGCCGGCAGGTTCCAGTGGCCCGCTAGGATGTGCCAGTGGCTGGCTACCCTGATTCTGGACTCCTGCCCAGGGGGAGGGGGGTGGCGCTAGGCCGGAGTGCCCGCTACCCGAGACCTTCCCGACGGAGGGTCCGCGAGTGCTAGGGGGTTCAGGGCCACCAAGGACCTGCCAACAGCTAGGTGGCAACAAGAGCTACCATGATGGTGGGGGCCTCTGCTCCCCAGGACGCTGGCCCCACGCTACCCGCAGCTACGCCGAAGGTCCCAACTGGGACTGGCTACGGGAGAAAATGATGGAGGTGATCCTTGCTAAGATAGGTTCGGAAGCGGAGCTAGAGAAGGAAGCCTTCCGCATGGCTGCCGGGGGGGCCACGGGCTGTGCCCTAGCTAGCTCCGAAGATCTCCAGGAGCAGCTACGCTTGATCTGGAAAGAGTGGCTGGAAGCTAATGACCTGGGAGACCCGGAGCTGCTAAAGGTGGCCCCGGAACAGCCGCTATACCTCCGCCTCATCCGGGCGCTACTGACCGCGGCCGGCGATCCCGACAGGGACTTCCTCCTCCAGGCCGAGGAGGGGCTACCGGTGGGGGTGAGGGACCCGCTACCACGCACTCCCCACGTCTTCGAGGAACAGCTAAAGTGGCCCTTGGAGAACGCCCCTTGGGAGGCGGCGCTAGCCTGGGTCCCGAACTACTCCTCGGTGGAGGAGTACCGTGAGTTCGCTAG